CGGAAGTTAAATTGGCGGAAGCTGCATAATTACGATATACGGCATAAGCAACCCCCTGCTTACCGACCAATGGCTTCTGGCTGATGAGTCGGTGATTAGTAGAACAATCTTTTGTCCTGGAGCCGAGAAATCCAAAGGCGGAGGAACCAATAAATTGGTCAACGGCAGAAGAATCCAGAAGGCAAGGGAAAACACTAAATTAAAGGCTCAACAGAACATTCCTAGTCATTAGTCATAACAAATACGCAAAAAAGTCAAACCATTACTAATCATAGAATCCGGAAACCAAGATCCGGTAGGGAAAGAAAAGATAATGTAAAAGACAATACCATCCAATGTCGATAGCAAGCATAATCCTCGTTTAGATAATAAAATTCTAAGTTTACGAATACACAGATGTACAGATACACTCTGCTTCGATATACATCTTGTATTGGTCGCCATTCCAGAATCCTTCTGGTCCATCTATCATCCATTAATCTGACAACATGTCCAACCAAGATCATTTAGCCATGGCTATTTTTTCAACTGCATCTGTGACTCCTGTTCTTCTTCTTATTTCTAGGTTTGGTACTTTATCTCTGATGGTAATACCTAATATTGATCTTTCCATAGCTCGTTGTGTAACTCTCATTTTATCTATTGTTCCAGCCTGTTCACAAGGTTGTTAACTATCCAGTTTGCTCACAAGCCGTTTTGTTATTATCTTCATGAATAGTTTGTATGTATGGGAGAGCAAACTAATAGGTCTGTAGTTCTTTAGGTCTGAAATGTCACCTTTTTTGTGAATTATGATTATTATTGCATTGTGCCACTGAGAGGGGGTTACGCCTCTTGTCAAACAAGCATTGAACATCGTTTTCAACACATTTAGTAACGTTCCCCCTCCTTCTTTGATTTGTTCAATGACTATCCCATCTTCTCCAGGTGATTTATTGTTTTTCATATCCAAAAGAGCTTATTTTATTTTCTCTGTTGTGATATCTGGGATGCCTTTTTTGGTATTTGATTTTGATTAGGATCTGGAATTTTTTCTCGTTTATACAATTCTGAGTAAAAATATTGAGCAATTTTTAAAATATTTTCCTTATTTGTTGTAGTTTCTCCTTTTTTATTTACAAGTTTACAAATATTTTTCGATCCTTCAGTCATTTGTCGGCGCAGAACCTTTAAACTTTTATTGTTATCAATAGCTTGAGTTATGTATTCAGTGTTGTAATTTCTGGCATCTTTTCGAATGGATTTTGTGATATTTTTGTTTAACTGCCTTAGTGTTACAAAATTATCTGTGTATTTGTCTTGCAATTCTCTTGTTTTGTTTATATGATCTTTAGTAGCTTGAGTGAGGTTATCCATCTTGTTTTTTCCTTTTTCCTTATATTTTCCATGAGAGTTCCGAATCGCACTATTTATTCGCATGTTTGTCACCTTTATATCTAATGCAGTTTCATTTAGATGTTCTACTTCTTTCTATTCTAAAGTTATGAGATTCTGATAAGCTACTCTATCTTCTATCGATTTCCATTTATTATAATGCCTCTCTGTTATCATTGCTGTCCTCTCTCGTCTAATGTTGATCATTATTTTTGCTCTAACCAACCGATGATCACTCCCAACAGTGATTTTATTAATTACTGTAACATCTTGGACAATATTTTTTCTGTTTGTGATGATGAAATCAATTTCGTTTTTTGTTATGCCATCTGGACTAGCCCACGTCCACTTACATTGTTGGTTCTTTTTGAAGAATGTGTTCATCACATAGAGCCGATGATGCAACAAAAAATGTAGTAGCAGACCTTCTCTATCATTTCGCTCACCGTATCCAAATGACCCCATAGCCACTTCTGCGTTATCTTCTTTAAATCCAAGTGTAGCGTTAAAATCGCCCATTAAGATTAGGTGGGGGTTTTTATCTTTTTCTATAGCTCTATTTATATCTTCATATAAGTTTTGGATTTCTTCATCGCTATGGCTCGTCGTGGGTGCATACTTGAATAATTTTAATAGAGCGTCTCCCGTTCATTTTTAATATAAGGTATACAACTCTTGAGCTTACACTCTCTATTTATATAATTTTATCTAGGTGTTTCTTGTGCACCAGAAAGCCTACACCGCCACCTGCCTTATTCTTTTCTTCAATGGAATGTAGCAGATACCCTGATTTTGTGTGACCACATTGGGCATTGAATCTGACCACATACCTTTAGTGGGAGTCATGGATGTGAGACTGAAGACAATAAAGAAAAAGTCTAGACCTAACTACGACATTACAGCCCTGCAACATCCGGAAGTTAAAAAGCAAGTGGGGGAATATATTAACAACCAAGTTAAATAACTAAAAGAAGAAAATAACATCCAACGAGAAATCAATCAATTCGAAGAAATAATTAAGAAAACTAAACAAGATCTGCTAAAACCAAACAAAGAAACAAAGAAGAAATCTTGGATGACTTCAGAAATCCTTCATTTAATGGAACGCAGAAGGTTAATTAAAGGAAATAAAGATGAGTATAAAAAAATGCAGGCTTACATCAGAAGAAAAATAAGAGAAGCTAAAGAAAAAGAAGCTGTAGAGAAATGTAAAGAAATAGAAAGACTACAAGCCAAGCATGACAATTTTAATGTACACAAAAAGGTAAAAGAAATAACGGGTACTTTTAAAAAGCGAACACAAATGAAACTCATAGACACCAATGGAAAATTAATCATTGACACCCAAGAGATGAAAGACAGATGGAGAATATATTTGGAGACACTTTTTCAAGATCAAAGAACAGATTATAGGCATCAATTTTCAGAGAGGATAACGGGCCCGGACATACTTAAATCCGAGGTAGAAGAAGCAATAAAACGGATGAAAAGCAGGAAAGCTGTAGGGCCTGATAATATCGAAGTTGAATTTTTAAAACTCTTGGAGGAAGAAGGAATATTTTGGATCACGGCTTTCTTCAATAAAATATACAATACAGGAATCATCCCTGATAAATGGCTAGAATCAGAATTCATAGCGCTACCTAAAAAACAGGGTGCTAAAAAGTGCGAAGAATATCGAACAATCAGCCTAATGAGCCATATGTTGAAACTGTTTCTTAGAGTCATCAATGGAAGAATTTATAAGAAGTGCGAGGAACAAATATCGGACAGACAGTTCGGCTTCATTAACGCAGTGGGTACCAGAGAGGCACTTTTCGGATTACAGGTACTGATTCAAAGATACAGGGACGTTAACTGCGACGTATACGCGTGCTTGATCGACTATGAAAAGGCATTTGACAGAGTTCAACATCAAAAGATGATAAACGTTTTAAAAGAGGCAGACCTGGATGACAAAGACCACAGAATAATTTCAGAATTCCACTGGAATCAGACCGCATACATGAAAATTAACGGAGAAGAAACAGATCACATAAAAATACTACGTGGAGTTAGACAGGGATGTATCCTATCGCCGTTGATATTTAATATGTACTCAGAGAAAATTTTTAACGAGGCTCTTTACGAAATAGACGAAGGCATCCTTCTAAGTGGTGAAAGAGTAAACAATGTTAGATATGCCGACGACACCATGGTGATAGCAGATAATTTAGAGGGACTTCAGAGGCTAATGGACAGAATAAACGAGTACAGTCAACAGTACGGACTAAACATTAATACCCACAAAACGAAACAAATGATTATCAGCAAGGAAAATATAAATGGGGCTCATCTATACATTAATGGGACGCAGATAGAGCGAGTAAAACAGTATTGTTACCTGGGAACTATTATTAACGAACAGTGGAGCAATTTACAGGAAATAAAGTGCCGCATAGGAAAGGCAAGAACGGTCTTTAACAAAATGAGCACCATCTTCAAAAGTCACAACATATCCCTTGATACAAAAATGAGACATTTGAGATGCTATGTTTTCTCTGTGTTGTTGTACGGGGCGGAGGCATGGACGCTTACAGACACCAATATTAAAAAACTTGAAGCATTTCAGATGTGGCTTTATAGAAGAATGCTGAGAATATCATGGACAGCAAGGATCACGAACAAGGAAGTTCTAGGAAAAATGAAGAAGGAACCGGAGATTGTGTTTACGATCAAACACATAAAATTGCAATATCTGCGACACGTTATGAGAAATCAGCACCGTTACTCCCTGCTACAGTCTATATTGCAAGGTAAAGTCAAAGGTAAGCGAGGACCCGGTAGAAGGAGAATCTCATGGCTGCGGAATTTATGAACATGGTTTAAGAAAACCTCAACGGAGCTGTTTCGAGCCGCAGCGAGCAAGGTTATGATTGCCAATATGATTTCCAACATCCGAAACGGATAGGAACCAGAAGAAGAAGCAGAACCCTGATTTTAAAACTAATTGGTTTTCTCCTTTTCTTCGTATTTCGGAAAGTCCCAATACATCCCATTTTATACAGTTAAGTTCTTCCTGTAATTTAATGAGCTTATCTTCAGTTGCAAGCGTTCTTATGTTATAAGTGGCAATATGCAATGTTCGTTGTCCATGATGGCCGTGTCTATTCCGGTGATTCTTTGCACCCTCTGCCCTTGGTCCAAACTGCTGGCTACCGTCACCAGAGATCGTTGGGCCGCCGGGACTAAGGGTCTTTTTCTAGTTTATGTCAGGTCAATTACGGTATAATTTTCCCCGTAAATAACATGACACAAGTCTAATAGTAAGAATGACTAACAAATAGTATTTCAATATGTTGCATTATAATTTTTTGTTTTGTTAACATTTATGTAGCTGTGATAATGAAAGTAAGATGTAAAATTCCCTTGTGGCGAATAATAAAAGATTAACTTCAATAGAAAACATCAAATATTCTTTTAATACATTTGCATATCCAATTAAATCTCGACAAACTATCTCGGAATCTATTACAGAGTTCCGTTATTCGGCATTTAGCGCACTCATTCTAATTCCATCCGAAAACAGTTTTCCGTTCCAATTTAAATTCATAAAGTATTCAGTTTTAGAAAATCATGCTACCAAGATGAAGAAATATCGTTATCTGGTTACTTTTTGTTTACTATTTCCACTTTTAGATTTCGCAAACTTAGAAAGTTTGCAAAACAAACTTTTATCGCGCAGAAAAAGATATTTGACTTTTCCCGAAGGAGCTAGCGTTTCGGTAAGTTTAACCAATTTTATTAGTCTTCAGTTTATATGTAAATCAAAGAATAGGATAACTATAGAGTCGGATGGATTTGTATTACAGGAGCGAACCTACCCATGGGAATTGTCCAGTGATAGTATGCTTGTGTGAATTGTACGTTCGAAATACAAGTTCGTTATTAGGACTTGTGGGTCAAATTAAGCTACAGGGGAAAATATATGTTCAATGTATTGACACATATGAACTTTTTGTTAGTCATTGTCTCATAATCATAGTAAATTAAATATTTACTTTTGGCAGCGAATACTTTTTTATATTTACATTTATGTGCCCTCTTGTTCACATTTGATCTATTCATTACCAGTTTTCGTGATTGTTTCAGTCGTGGTAGAACATGGTGGTTTAAAACCCATCAACCCTATAATCAGGAAGTCAAGAGTTGAAATGATTTAAACTTATTTATTTTAGGGGTAAGTGTAGAATTATGCGGAAGCCTTTTTAAATTGCTCTTTAAAAAAATCATCAATTCTTTTTTTTTATTTTTAATTGGCTTTGACTTGAAACCTTTAATCACGTAATTACATATGAATATTAGTATTCATTCATACAGGATTGTACAAAGACGACACTTTTCACGCTCAGGGATTCATCAGAGCGGCTTTATTGTAACAAACAAATCATAAATCACGGTTAGGTAGGGGGCAACATATAGGGTAGGTCCGCACTTTACATATATGCACTATTTGCCACACTTTTGTTTGCAGTATACATATTAAATTTGTCGGTCCGTTAGGATAACTAATGTCCTTAGCTGTAAATTTAAAACGACAGCTAAATAGATGCGAGAATAAAAACTATAGCGCAAAGTACAATATTTTACAAATCGGATTCTTGCCCCATTAATTGGGGCAAAAGTCCGCAATCTTTGCCCCCTTTGAATAAAAATAATTTTATAAAAATTTAACATTTTGTCAAAAAACATTATCTAAAAACTTATAAACATACAAACAAGTAGATATATGACCTAAACGCAAAAAGATAAAAAATAAAAGAAATTTTTGAAACCTGAAACACTTTTACAAAACAGTGCAGAAAGTTACAACTAGTGCAACATTAAATCACTTAAATCGGTTGAAGCTCACAAAGTCCTTAAATTTAGCAGAACTGACTAGCAATGGCTTGGAAAGTTTCCTTATAATGTCTGTCTTGTTGACAAAAAACTCTTCGTCAATTTCTGAAAAACGCATTGAATTGGGTGCTCTCCTATAATAAATACCACTGTAACATAAGAAAAACTTAAATTGCTGCTACTATCATGAAGTGATATTTGCGCGTCCGAGTCAGAAGAATATTCATATTCCGTTTTATTTAATACATTTTGTTTTTCTTTAAATACTTTTCTTACTGTATTCTTATTTTCCTTAATGCTTTCTTTTCTTTTTTCTGGTTCATTTTGTATTTCTTCTCCAGCTCTGAGATTTTCATTTGCTCTTTATGTGGAGTAGAAGTCAGAAGTGTAGATTTCAATCCTTTTCTTCTGACGGTAACATAGTAGACATTTCATTTTTCGAGCTTTCAGGTTTTGATTCCAGGTTACTTGAAATGCTAGCTCTATCTGGTAGATTTTCAATATTTCGTTCCTCTGCTTCACCACTTCTTCTGCTTAGTCATTTTCCTGACTTTTGTCTTAGTCAAATAAAATCTTTAATTGTGTATCTTTATTATTTTGGTCAAGATAATCTACTTCTTCTTGCTCTTGTTTAGTTACTGAAGAAGGTAAAAAATTTTCTTCAGTAAAGATATTTTCATCTAAAGGGAAAATACCTGTCATTTTAAATCCATTAACAGCTTTTTCTATAGTAGCAGTTTTCTCATAGGCCTGCCAGAATAATCCAGCGACGTGGTATTCAGTGACTACTTGCCCGAGATTAGGTGTGGTCACAGAATAATAAACAATGAAAATGACCACTCTCCATGGAAAATTAAGTACGCGCATCTCCTTCGCGCAGACGTTCTGCCATGTTTTAGAGGGAACCAGTGTTGTTTTATGTGGTGTGCATAGAAAAATTAACCCGGTTTAATTGACTTACGGCAATCATAGACATATTATACAATTATATTAACATTGTTAAATATAATAACATAAATAAAATATAATTAAACATAAATATAAACAATTACATAATCTCACAAATCATATGTCTGTGTTCTGTGTTTCCTTCTAAAACATGGCGCGCGTGCTGAAAAACTTCAAAGGCGGCATCTGAGAGTGGACATTCTGATTGTTTATTATTCTGTGGTGTGGTCCAATTATCACACAAATCGTCATAGTAAGCTTTTAATGGCCTAACAAAGTTTCTGTCCAGTGGTTGAGTTCGATGGCTGCTATGAGATTATGATAATGCTTATTATGAGATTATGATTATGAGATGCTTATTTTTTGCGTAAGTGATGGCCTCTAAATTGGTATGGGATATGTGTTTATCCAAAATTAATAGCACTGGGCTTTCAGCGGTAGGATTTGTATATTTGCGAAAGTGCTCCAAAAATTGAAGAAACTTAACTGAATTTATGTATCCAGAATCAGTTACAGCCAAAAAAGAACCAGTTGGAGCATCATTTATCAAAAGAGGATTTAGTCTTTTGCGTGCGAAAATAAAGAATGGTGGAACATAGTGTCCTGTTGCACTCATAGAACTTGCAGCTGTCACAGTTCTTCATACAGGCACATATGGGCTGAAGAAAACCCACACGCAAAAATAGTCTCTCATCACCAAAGAAATTTTAAAGTCAATGTTTGGGCAGGAATTGTGGATAACAACCTAATATGGCCAGTATTTCTTCCATACAAATTTGAACAGTGAAAATTATTTACACTTTCTACGTGTAGCAACGTGTTAGCAGAGTATTTAGACGAGTTCAATCTCGCAGTCAGAAAAAGTATGTGATTTTTACAGGATGCGATGCGCATTACCATTAAGAAATAAGAGAATATTGTTTTCATCAGTATACTAGACATTGGATTGCAAGGGACTTTATGCGCCTATTTCTTGGTCACTCAGAGGTGCAGATCTGAACCCAATTGACTTTTGCATCTAGGGTTTTATGAAAGTGTAGGTATATTCCGTAGCAATTATGAACGAACAACAACTAAGGTATAGAATCATTGAAGCTGTAATTCGATTTCGTTAGAAGTCCATGATTTTCCAAAATATTTTGGAATTGAGTCCACTTTAGCTCCTCTACACACTCTTATATCTAATACATCAGAGAAAAGTCGACGATCGATAATTATATGGCCGATTTCGATTTTTGGTAGACCATCTAGAGATTGCCATGTGAGTTTGTGTATGTTTTTGTGAGGGAAACACGTGCTTGCTATCACCATTCGTAACGATAACGATCCTATTCCTAACGATTTATTTGCCAGATATTTTTCAGGTCCATATAATGATAGTTGAGAATAATTTACCTAATTTTAAATTGGACTATAGTGTGGATTTCCAGATTCTGAAGTTTAGTCTGACTGACTGATTTAGTCTGATGTTTTCGAGGGGATTATCAGTTTAAAAACTACATATTCTTCAGGGTCTGATAGTATACCTGCAGCAGTTATTAAGAACTGTATTTTTTTCCTTTATAAACCTTTACAACAAATTTTCAATTTATTATTATCTGTATTTCCACAATATTGGAAAAATAGTTTTCTTACACCTATCTATAATTCTGGCAATTGTGAGAGTAACAATTATATACTTCTTAATAAATTGGTATCGATAAATCTCTCCTGGGCCTGCAGAAACATAATTATTGATGAACAACATGGATGTTCTTACGGGAAGTCAACAGTAACAAACCTTGTCAATTACCAACAATACTTTTTGGGTGCAGTTGAAAATAAAATTTAGGTCTACAGCATTTACACTGATTTATCAAAGGCCTTTCACCATGTTAATCATTATCTTCTGGTCCACAAACTTCACGCATCTGGCTTTGGTGACCCTATTGTTAATTGAATTAAAAGTTTTCTGATGGAACCTACACAGCAAGTTTGTATTAACAATTATATTTAAAAAAAAATCCATTGTTATTCTGGTGTACCACAAGGGTCTCATTGTGGTCCCTTGTTTTTTAACTTGTTCATTAACAATATTGGTAAGGCTATCAAAAACTTACAATTTCTGCTATTTGCTAATGATCTTAAGTTATTTCGTTGTATACATGAGAAATCGAATAGAGATCTCTTGCAAGATGATGTAAATAATATATGTTTATGTTCAAAACAAAGTGGTTCAAAATAAAGCTTAAATCCAACTAAATATTCTTGTATTTCATTTGGTGGTATAAATAATCTAATAGTTAATAGATATGTTCTTAATGATGTACTCTTGGATTCAGTTACTGAGATTAGAGATTTGGGTGTATTAATGGATTGTGCATTGACATTTAGAAGCCATTTTCTTAAAATTAAGAAAACAGGATTTCGTAATCTTGGTTTTATTTATAGTAACAGTCATAATCTCTCACCTATTGTATTCAAATTATTGTATTGCTCTCTGATACGCTCAGGTCTTGAATACTGCTCTGTTGTTTAATCCCCATTTAATCAAGTCTTCATTGATGTATTGAAGAGCGTTCAGAGGAAGTTTCTGCTTTTAAAGCACATATTAATATAAGAAATACTGAAAATTATTTCAGAGGTTATTCTATAATAATGTACCAATTTAACATTGCTAGTTTAACATTCTAAACACCGTTATTAATATTGTCCCCCATTATTAGTCAATGTGTACTTAAACACAATACATAGAACTTGACACACTGTACTCTTTTATATTCCTTTTCAGAGGACTAGTTATGCTCGTCGTTTTCTCTTGTCGAGAATGCTCAGTTCTTGCAATGAGCGTCTTCTCTTAGGAGAAGACCTCATTCTCAGGAGCTCGGTTCTCTACTTGGAAGTTCGTTTTACAAGAACTCTCAACTGGAAGGCCGATGTCTAGGAATCCCTAGATAGGGTAAGACAGAGGTTTAATCATCTCCTGAAAGTGCTAACCGGTAAAATTGGCGGAACGTCTTCCAAAACTTTGTTGCACACCTGCAAGACTTTTGTCAGGCCGATAATCGAATACAAGACATCGCAGTTACTGAACGTAGAATGTTAAGATACTGCATGAGAAACAATTGGTGGTATCCATCAGCTCACATGCACATATTGGCCAACATCACGCCAATCAAGGACAGAATCCTAACCCTCAGCAGGAAGTATGTCCTAAGAACCATAGCTGACTCGAAAAACCGAGCAAAACGAACATTAAAGACGCCTTGCAATCATAGAGAGCAAATACTCACCAGGTATCAAGAAAGTTCCGTTTCCTCCAGCAAAACTTCTACACAACACTGGACATGAACTTGCTGATGAGTATTTTGAAATTCTAGAAACATTCCCTATCCAATATCGCAGATAAAGACTGCGGGCCAAAAACGCTGATAAAGAGCCGTTCCTACTGTATGGCTGGTAACCCCTGAATTGCCTCAACTGGTATGCTAGGCAGATTCCACTTCTTCTTGTGTATTCTTACCGATTCTTATCGATCACACACATAAGTCACCTTCTTTTTCCCCTGCTCCTTAGTAGTCCACTACTTCTTGGCTCGTGCATCATTTAATTGACGTTTATCACAGCCCCACAACTCCGTTAAAAAAAAGGAGTTACCCATTACTTGAAGAGGCTCAGGTCTAAACAAGACTAAAACTCATGTGTAATGTCTTGAAATGACCTCCTATTGGATCCATTCTTTGCAAACATTAATGTTTTCAAAAGGTAACTTAAGAATCTAATTATTAATCTAGTTATGTGATATTTTTTACACTTTTGTGATTTGATATACTGTTTTATTGTACAAATTTTTACTGTTCAACTGTTTCTTTGTTATGTTTTTGATGTTTATTGTACATGATCTTTATTTTTTACTGTTTGTTGTATTTTATTGTAAATGGTTTTACCATTGAAATAAATAAATAAACAGATAATGCGAGATCAATCAGGCATGAGGTTTTGGTTGATGACTATGCACGCCAGTAGTTGGGCAGTAGATTGTTTTTTGACCAACTGTTGTATCATTCTTTTGACATTGTAAATTTAGATATATTTCCATAATAGTTCCACAAGTTCCAATCCAAACTTGTTTGTACTACGCTTTTGTCCAAATTAAAGGTACATTTGAATAAGAAAACGTTTATAAATTTTTGCTAGACAGCTAGATTAATGACCATCGAGCCGGAATCGGTAATATAACATTACCTACACCATTAACAAACTTAAGTAAAGTTACCATCTTATTAGTTATCATCTTTTAGGCAGCAGCGTGCATGACTGCACAACTGTGGATAAATCCCAGAGGTATATTTACAGAAAGTATTGCTTGGGGTTTGGCGTACGACTTACCGAACGACACGAAATCATTGAGCAGTTTCTTGGGGCCGAGATTTTTAGCGAAACGTCGACATCGAAGAGATTTGTATGGAAAAATGGAAACATTAATGGAATCGTAAGTTTACTTTTTTTCTTCCTGTTATAAGCAGGCAAATTCAAAATATTTTTGTTTTTCCTACAGCCTTTTCTTCTTTTTCGACGTAATTTTAATTTCATGTTTTTATCTCGAATAATATTTACTCTGGCAATGTTTTTTCTATTTTCTTTTTCTGTTTGCTGTTGGCATTGATGAAATATCATAATACATAACTGTTTTTAATTAGGTATTATGTGAAAAATAGCAGTGTTGTGTTTTAAAATATGTAACAAAAGTTTTCGGAAAAATATTAATAAAGTATTTAAAGAAAAATGTAAAATATATTCAAACAATATTTTTGACAACATTATCTCTTAGTAACTAATTAACAAATTTAAATTAAGCTTAGAGATTTGTATTCTTCAATGACAGGTAATTTTCGATAACTTTCTTCCTCCTATGATATATTATATAATAATATCAAAAATATATTTTTTTGATATATTATTTTATAAATATTTGATTTTAAAAACAAAAAGTGAATGCGATGGCCGGGAATCGAACCCGGATCAACTGCTTGGAAGGCAACTATGCTGACCATTACACCACCATCGCACATACACATCAGTTTTTTTAGGGATTTGTATTATCTCGAGAAACTTTGAATCTCTTTATAGAAAATAGAATTTTATGAATTCTTTTCAGACTGCTTTAACTTTTCATCTTTAAGTCTATATTATCTTTTTTTTTTTTTATTAAAACTAATTATTTGAATCTTATTCGAAGCTATTAAAGGCGGACGTATTTAAAATATTTTTCTTTGCTAAAAAATAATTGTCATTACAGGTAGGTAGGTATCTAGTAGGTACCTATTTTAATAGGTAGGTATTAGATATTATTATAATTATAGGTAACTAATTATCTCATAATAAATATTTTAAAATTTATTGTTCAGAAAATAGTTGAGAGCGAACCTAAGACGAGTTCTCTGTAAGTAAATTAAATCAAATTTGATTATTTTCATCACGGTATGATGCGCAGTAGCTTTTGCAGATAGTCTGGACGGTTTGCAAAGAATAATATCGCGTATATCAGATGTAAGTAGAGAACATGAACCTTATCTTAATACGAAGAAAACAAAGTACATGGTACAGTCAGTAAGCGCGAAATATTAAATACACAGCTTTTGGTTAACCAACATCCAATTAACAGAGTGGACAGCACACATAGGTACCTTGGTACCAACATTAACAGCCAATGGGATCACTCCAGTGAAATAAAACAACGTATAGGAAAAGCGAGATCAGCGTTCATAATGATGAAGTCTCTTTTCAGAAGTCACGATTTACCACTTGCTACCAAAATCTCTCTCATTAGATGCTATGTATTTTCTACGTTATGATACGGAGTAGAGGCCTGAACTATGGAGCCTGGAGAATGTCTTGGCCATGTTATGAGGAATGAACAGAGATACGGCTTGTTGCAACTCATTCTTTAGGGCAAATTATTTGGAAAGAGAGGACCAGGGAGAAGAAAAATATCTTGGCTTGAAAACCTGAGAAAGTGGTTTAATACATCGATAACCGGACTATTCAAAATAGCAGCAAGCAAAGTTAGGATAGCCATGTTGATCGCCAACATCTCGAACGGATTGTCACCGTAAGAAGAGAAGATGATGCGCCTACGACAAGTCTTTCTGAGACAGTCGGTTTAATATTAGATTAATCAGACTTAAACCAAATGGCTGTTACTCACTGGAATGAGAAATTTCACTCATCGCAGATACTTCTTCCTCTTAACTATTCCTCTTCTTGTACTTGTAGATCTAATAATCTGTTTATTCCTTTGCTGAAGTATTTCTTGAGAGGTAGACTGTCAGCTATATCCCCATCTCTTTGGAAGTTCTCCAGGTGGTCGCTTGCTAACTGATTTACCTTTACTCCAATTCTTGGTAGCCTATGTTCCTCCGTCCTTTTTACATGATTGTACCATTCTCTTGGTCTTTTATCTCACTACATTTTTCACTTGGCATTGTTACCTGATGATGTTGTTTTTTATTCTGCCCCTTTTTGTTTTTCTTGATATTGCTATTAGGATCTCCATTTTCGTTGTACGTAACATACTTTTGGTTATATTGGCATCGTCCAAGATTATAACGAGTGCGGCAAAAGTCAGTTCCCGCTATGTAGTTTCGCATAATAGGTGTTCCCTACTATTTGTAGGGTTAACCAGCCTTGACTTTCGTTCATCTGCCTTTCGCGTGTTGCTGTTCGTTGTGAGTGTCGGTGGGGTTTTGCGGTACGTTGCTGCGTTGTTAGTAACGAGTTAAACATGCAGGCGGGCAGAAAGGTCACGAAAGAAGAACGCGTTTTTTTACTAACTTTGTATCTGCGATTTTCAGCGGACTATGGGACTATTTTTTCCGAATTTCAGGAACGTTTTCCGAATCGTCCAGTACCATCGCGTTGTAATGTCACTAAACTGTACCCTAAGTTTTTAACGACGGGTTCCGTTGCAGACGCGCCGCGGTCTGGTCGGCCAGTAACAGTGACGACGACTGAGAATATGGAGACCGTGGCGCTATCTTTGGTCGAAAACGCAAACCAATCGAGTCGTAGACTATCCAAAGAATTAACTATTTCGGATATATCGCTTCGCCTAATGCTAAAACGCATGAATTATGTTGTGTATCGACCTCGTCTTATTCACGCGTTAGACGAAGATGACCCTGAAACTGAATGGCATAATAAATCGGCATAATTGCGTCTATTGGAGTACAGAAAATCCGCATGTTACTCTCGCACAGGAATTGAATGTACCAGGCATTTTTGTGTGGGCTGGAATCTACGCTAGTGGGTTAGTGGTGCCATATTTCTTCGAAGATACGGCACCTACCTCGAGATACTCGAAGACTTATGCATTACGATGAAAGCAGATCCTGCCCTATCTGGAATTGTTCACTTTATGCAGGACGGTGCTCCACCCCACTACGCGCTGATCATGCGTGAGTTTCTTGATGAGCACTTTGGTGACTGGATTGCTCACGCTGTGCGATTTCTTTTTATGGGGTCTGCTGAAGAATAGTGTGTATGCTAGGCGACCGCAAACTCCCCCACAGTCGAAGACAATTATTGAAAAAGAATTTAAACACCTCCGTCAGAACAAGGCAATCCTCAACCGAACATACCGTAACGTTGCGAGCCGTTGTGAACGTTGTATCGAGGAAGATGGACACCAGTTCGAACATAAAGCTTAGATTTTTATATGCACCTTTGTAACCCAAATTTGCGACTTAATTAAACGTTTTGTATTTTCATTTTCCGATATTTTTATTATTTTTTTTTCCGTTTAATTTGCGACGTAATTAAACGTTTTGCATTTTTATTTTCCGATATTTTTCGATTGTGCAAATCGGGGAACTGACTTTTGCCGCACTCTGTATTTCATAGGTTATTGCAGGTCTGATATAGGTTATATAAATTTTAACCTTACTATCTGTTCGCTTGTATAGGTTATTCCAGACAATATCCAGATGACTGTGACCTTGTTTATCGGCCCTCTTAGGTCTCTGACTGCGTAAGGTAACTACTTAGATAAATATATGCCAAGTTATTTGAATTTAGTTAACCTTGTTCAATGAGTTTGTTCTTCACTACGAGCTTACATCTAATTTCATTAGCTCTAGATGGGTAGACTAAATGAAGACTTTGGTGGAAAAAATCACTACGTGAAGCCATCCATATGACACAGAATCGCAACTATTATCAAAAAAAAATAGATTTTACATATTTGTGATTAATTTTTTATTAATTTTTTAGGATGGGTTATAATGGTCGTACCTGCATTTTGAGAACTGTTTGTGAAGCATCGCAACGATTCCTTCCTAAAGAAGATAATCTTCTGGATCATATCCTTAAATTAATATTTAAGTAAGTTAAACATTTTTATATTTACGTAAGAGATTAGATATATTTAAGGATATTATAAGTAGAGATTTTAGATACGTTTTAGGATATTTTAAAAGTACTATAAATTATCTAACTTTTATCAACGTCTTTTGCTGCAAAAAGTCATTGCAGATAAGATAAAGTTATTTTCTAGTAAGAAATCGTTCTAAATATTCACAGATTACTACATACACAAATGTACTCACTATATTTGGTCAGAGAATATTCTTTGAAGTATGTTTTTTCTAGGCATATACTAAAAAAAATATTTACCCTGACGATTGTTGGCAGTATATGCTTCAAACATGGTGCGAACATTATAGTTATGCAGGTAACTGTAATCTGATTATAGATCATGGCAAAAATAATCTATTAAGAAAACTGTTGTAACTCAAAGACAGAAAATATAGATTTAAAATACCGTGACCAGAAGAAATATTTCATAATCCATTGATGGATAGTACCTTCGTCAAATTATTTGTCCTACATCATATCGAGACCTTGGAGAAGACCGTTATATGCCAAGATGTGACAATTTTTAGAAATGGTTATTTAAAAAATCGCATAAATCGCAAAAATTCGCATAACTACGAACAGGCAAATATTTAACCTTTGGTATGGCTTAGTTTGTAAAAAGGTATAGTCAATCCCATTTTCTCTTTCTCCAATGGCGCTACAGCCCAAATCGAACATTGTACCCTTGAAACAATGCCTTCAATCTTGCCAGTCCGTCGCCAGTGTCTTCTCCAGCTTCTCATGTCAAGCAAATTTTGCTCGTCCGCTGCCACTTTTTCCTCCCACCTTTTCCGTGGTCTTCCTTCTAGCTTTGCGCCCTGCATTTTACCATCTAGGGCTCTTTTTGGCAATCCTCCGGTATCCATTTTCACTATATGACCAGCCTATACAAGTCTCTGAATCTTATAGAATCCTATTTTGGGCCATAAATTAAAAAAAAAATCTTTAAAAAATGTCTTCGGTGTTTGGAGATAATTCATTTCTGTATAAAAACTGTTTTTTTTTACAAATAACGTGTTTTTTTACAAATATATATTTGTGACATAACAATAAAAAAGGCGCTATAATTAAAAACTAAAAAATACTGCCATTATGCACTAAATTATAGTCCTGTCTTCACTTGAAAATCCATTTTTTAACTTTCCATGATACCCTCTTATCCCCACTTAATATCTTCTTATAATACTGAAACGCAATATCTAGCGGATGTTACGTTTTATTCTGCAGATATCGAAATACCAGCACCAACACTTAAGGAAGTAAAGAATTCGATCGCGTATCTAAAAGACAATAAAGCACCCGGAAATAATAGCAGAAAAATGGAGAGTTGTTAAAAAAAAGGAGGAAACCTTTACACCAAAAATTGTATGACATCATTCTGGAGAGTATGGCAACAACAGAAAATGCCTAGAGAATGGAATGGAAGCGTTATAATTCCCATATATAAGAAAGGAAATAAAGAACAATTCCGAAACTATAGAGGCATATCGCTTATTAGCACATCATATAAAGTGCTATCAATTATCTTGTTAAAGAGAGTCACACCATATTCGGAAGATATTCTAGGCGACTACCAAAGCGGATTTCGTGCTGGAAGGTCAACTATAGATCAGATATTTACCATTCGACAAATAGAGAAAACTGCATAGATTTCAGCATATGATTCCATAAAAAGAAGCAAATTCTGGATAGCAATGTTAGAAATGGGAAAACCAAGACTGACAGTGTCTATCCCTAAATTCTTGAGACCTTTTCATAATCTGAAATAATACCAACTGAATCATTTTAAGAACGTCATAAATCGAAATAATTTGTAGACAGTTGAATTCAAAAAATTCAAAAATTTCTCATAATTTTCAAAAATACTAGTATAACTCAAAAAAATACTACAACTTATTTTAAATATAACCTTAGCTTCTTTACAAGACTGACACAACTCACAATAAAGCAATATTCTTCTTAGAAAATATAGTTTTATCCTATTGTCTATGAAAAGGGATGGCATATCTCAAAATATAACAATATTGTGCAGAATGCCGATTCAGCTACTCTACCATTTGACGGATATAGGCATAAACTAACTTTATGGCGTTATCACACAAAAATATATAAAATATTTGAAATCTGTTAACTAACAGTCCATTTTCACTCTTTTTTGTGATATGACAGTCTTCTTCCAAGTTAGCGATATTTAGTAATGTATTTATTAAGTAGGTTGTAAATTGCAATTAAAACAAACAAAAATTTTCAAAAAAACCTAAAGAAATATTACCAATAATTATGAATTAAGGAATAACGTGACTTAAAATAAACTTTCTTTATGGAAAACACATTTTAAGAAAATGTATATTTATGTTTCGAATGAATTTTAAAAAGATTAAATTTTATTATTTCTCCTGTTGCTTTGCTGTTAATTATAGAATTTCATTTATATGTAGATTTTAATGGCCTTCATGTTTTAGAATAGTATATGTAATTAAATGGGCTGGGCGTACAGGATCTAGCGAAATACGAAAATTAACAAGATTAAGATACTGCAGCGGCTGAATATAGTTTATATTTGTATCTAGATCTACACTGCTTTGAAATTGCTCTGGATTCGTTACACTGTGTTTTTTTATTATGAAGACTAAGTTTTACTTCCTCTGTCAACTCGTTTATTTTAAAAATTATTTGGACACGTCGATTTTTATAGATTATAATTACTAACTGTATTTCCGAATAGTTTTGGTGCCGATTGACAGTACGACAATTCTGACACATGTCACTAGCTCTGGTTCTAACCTTTTCTCTTCAAAATGGTACTCGTATGAGAATAATGCAAAAAAAACACAATGCGAGAAAATGACCGGAATATCAATTAATTAGCCTAATGAGCAACACTTTTAAAATTTTCCTAAGAATACTTCACTACAGAATTAGATGCAAATGAGAAGCAGATCTTGAAGATACCCAATTTGGTTTTAAAAATACTATGGGAAACAGGAAGGCACTTTTTGCGCCTAACATCATATTACAAAAATGCCGTGACCAAAGAAAAGATGTATTTGCATGTTTCGTGGACTTCAAAAAAGCATTCGGCATTTTTGAAGCCGAATGCTTTAAAACGGCACTATATCGTTTCTCTGTTGATATTAATCAGATTACTATAACATATAACACGTTAAATGAAAGAGGAGGGATATCCAATACGTTAACACAAAAAACAGACGAAAAAACATTGCCAATATGGCACTATATTGTATTCCCGTTGCTATTGGTCCGATTTTGTCGTATAAGATGTCAAATGAAAGAGGATGGAATATCGAATATAACAACAATAATCTTCGTTTTTATTGGTTCAATTACTACGTATGAAGAGGTAAATGAAAGAGGATGGGCTAGTGAATATGTTATCACAAAAAAAAAACACAAAGACATCGCCAAAACCACAACCACGCTATATTAATATACTTAAAATGGAGTTTCAATGTTTAAACATCAGCTAACAGATATCTAACGCGATCTAACATATAGCAGACATATACCTGACGCTATCTAACGCATATGAGACGTAAAGCAGACGCAATCTAACGCATAGCAGACATGCAGCAGAATCAATCTAACTCATATCAGATGTATAGCAGCCGCCATCTACATCAAATCAGACGTATAGCAGACGTATACCAGACGCAAGCTGGGACAGAACAATCGCTAAAGAAAATCTATCGAAAAAAATGAAATTTGTCAGAGTAAGAAATGAAAGAACCGTAAGAAATTATGTGCGTTAAACACAGAATAACGAAGCACATCACAACTACGATGGTATGGACACGTCAAAGAATGGACCAAAGAATGGGCGACAACTGAATAAGAAAAAGTATTATATTGGACAACTACTATACATAAATATATAAATCTCATCTAAGCAGTCATTACAAGTATCCTCCGAACGGTAACTACTATACTCTCTCTTTCTCTCTCTCTCTCTCTCTCTCTCTCTCTCCCTGTCTTTCTTCAATCCTGACCCCCCAGGGGGAGTGTAGTGGTCGACGTGATGTCGTGTATTGTCCGTCTCCAGAGATCTCTGTCTCTGGTCATTTCTTTTAATTCATGCATAGGTCTTTGGCATATTCCTGTAATTTGATGTATCCATCTTGTTGGGGATCTTCCTCGTGATCTTCGGCCTTCTACCTTTCCTTGTATTATGAGTCTTTCCATCTTTTCTGTGTTTGCTCTCATAACATGCCCAAAATATTTTAATTGTTGGAGATGGACTTTACTAGAGAGTCGTTGGCTAACTTTTAGCTCTCTTAAAATTGAATTATTTGTTCTGCGGTCGGTCCAAGGAATTCGAAACATTCGTCTCCAATGGAACATTTCAGTGGCGTCTATCTTTCTTCTCCCCGATTGTCTCAGAGTCCAAGATTCACATTCGTAGGTCAGTATTGGGAATATTAAGCAGTTTATCAACCTCATCTTTATCGCTCTTGAAATTTGACAGTCCTTCCATATTTTGGCCATTTTTGTTGTGGCAACTTTTGCTAGATCACATCTACGTTTAATCTCTTCTTGTAATGACCCTGTGTTTGTGATTAATGATCCCAGATATAAGTATGAGCTCACAACCTCGAACCGGTCAATTGTGGTTATGTGTGGATGATTGTTGAGTAGTCTATCCACTATCATGATCTTTGTCTTTGATATGTTTAATTGCAGACCAAATATTTGACTTTCGTTTTCGATCAGTCGTATAAGTTCCATCAGCTCTGCTTGATTATTTGCAGGAAGGGCTGTGTCATCTGCGAAACGTAGGTTGTTTAGTTTATGACCATTTATTGAGATGCCCTTTTCCCATCCTTCAAGTGCTCTTCGCATAATATACTCCCTAATATGTTGAATAATTGTGGAGATAGTATACATCCTTGTCTGACATCCCGTTCTGGATGAAACTCGTTCGAAAGTGTGTCAAGTACTTTAATTGATCCAGTAGTGTGTTCATATAGTTTAGTTATAAGCGTAATTAGATGTTGTGGTACGCCTACTTCTTTTAGTATTCGCCATTCGCAAACTACTATACACGACTCACAAATATGATTATTGATATACGATATCGTTTTGTTGCGTACTATATTTTATCTACAACAATTACTATTTTACAACGATATTCAGATATAATCCAATTATAACGAGGACTAACAAACGAATGTTTACCATCCATAAATGATGTTCAAACCAACTAACGTGCCAAAAGACCATTACATCATATATTCGTTGTTATTTATCCGATTTTGACGTACGAGACGTAATGCAACTATTTTATGCCATAATCTCGAATCTAACCTCAAAATGATAATCTCAAAATATTTTGGCCATTACAAATTTTAACTTAATCCTCCCGTTACTTCCAACTCTTTGAGTAGTAATCTTTCTTACCTCACAAACCAGATTAAAGAAATACTTTTTATTGTGATTAAATTTGGTTTTTTATTTTCTTTATAATATACTTCGAACGTTATTAATCATGGACGTATAAACACAGATGGACTCAGTTATTTACATAAAATTGTGAAGTCAAAATTATTTGAATAGGTCACATTCTCAGCACCTTCAACTGTTGTCACGTTTTGTTTTAAAATTTCTTATTCGCGAGTCGCTGAAAATATTACTCCGTATTTTATACTCTACAGGTGCTATCAAACCAAAATAATAATTTATTGGTTAGATTAATATATTTAATTGTAATCAAAATATAAAATGTTGACATAGTGTGCATTATCATTTAATAATAGCGTATAATACATATCAATCAATTATTTTATATGTAGAAGCACTGAAAACTATTTATAAATGGCAACGGTTGTTTACATTTCTCTGTCTTATGGATCTACGTCAAACTTCAAATGCTGTTCCATGTTTGTTTACTTTTTAGTAAAAGTTGTTTTTAGATATTTTGGCTGTATTTTGAGTGATATTTGTGAAAAGTGAAATAAAATAAACGAAATATTTACATCCCGATCTCTCATTTCATTTGTAAGTACATACAATTTACATTATTAAGGATGAGGAAATGAGGAAGCGTGTTTGTTTACATTTTAATAGGCGTACCATTGGGTTTATTCATGTTCATTGATATTGTGTATTGAATAAGATACAAATTCATGAAATTAGTAGACATTTTTAAATTGTAAGTAGACATCATCTGATTAAAAAAAAAACTGTTTATTACCTTTTTAATTTAATATTTCTCATGGATGCAAATAAATTAGTGAAATGAATAAAACTCATTTATTTTTCTATGTAGGTTTCCAAATAATATTGACAATCGAACTATTTTGGTAGCAAATTTAGGAGAAAACATAAAGATTTTTTATTGTAGCATTATTTTGATACCTATTAAAAATTAACTTGAATTCAACTATATTTCATTGTATTAATTTTAAAGCAAATAAAATTGTATTTTAATTTTTCTATAAAGACGTGATTTGTTAATAGTTAAACTCTCGTTTTTTTTAATTATTTGAACGTGTTTTTATACATTATTACTACTTCCAATTTTTAAAATCTGAATAATTACCCGCGAGTAAAAATTCAAGCACGCTTATGCTCATTGCGGAAGCATCACATCCTATCGAAGCTTCAAAACATTGTCTGTCTTACTAATAAAACACTCGTATTCTAAGGTTATTTCGTATTTATACTTAGAATAGTTATCCTAAGTATAAGGTAAATATAATACTAAAATAATTTGTTACAAATAAACTCGGTATAAGTTAGTTATAAGTATTCCCACTTTATTCTGAAATAATAGTTTGGCAATGTCGCAATCTTTTGCATAAATACATAGAACAACGAAATACTGAGTGAAATTTGTCAATTCTGATTTGTCTTTGAAACTGAAAATGACAACTGACACCATATATATCTTTATTTGTTATCTTATATGTTGAGTTTGAGTATTTAAAAATTGCAAAAAACTTTACACCGCCTTTAGAAAACCGATATTTTATTCTAAATTCCCTATCAGTGTTTTGAAAAGGGATTTATTCTTTCTTTAAAAGTTTTTCTCTTTGGTGTATTTTCCATCATGTTAATTAAATTATCAACATCCTCGACAGCCGCAACACATCTTAAAACATTTTTTTTTATTAAATAGCTACTCACAAAATAATACAAAAAATAATATATTCTTGTCACTGATGACTTTCACATTATTATAAAATAGGTTATACCGTTATACCAGACTTAAACTAGGGTGCGGGTTGGTATAATCTTGGAATAAATTCTTATATCAAGTATAACCTATATCTAAGTTATTCCGTGTTTATTGGTAAAGATTTTGCCTATACCTGAATTATTCTCAGTATAAGTTTTATACTTGGTTTATTAGTTATGCTGTGTGTGTGTTAAAGGTATCTTATTGCTGTGCTATGTTTATACGTCCATGTTACTAATCCTGACGCCATTTACGCAAAATTTGATTTTTAATTGAAAAAAGTATTTTAATTTGATTTATTTAATATCACTTGCTGTGTTGCGACACTTTACTTCTGTGTGTATTTAGTATT